AAGTTACTCTGAATTTAGTGGGATCTTTTGCTGAATAAATATGCACATAACTAGGTAGTATGAAACCTCTTATAACAAAGTTTTCTAATAAAAAAATAGAGTGCTAAAATTATGGGAATTTGTCTTCATATAAATAAGCTTAATTCTGAAAGTGATGTCTTACATAAAAGTAGCCATGTTGGCAAACATTTTCTTTCCATTGTGCAATCCATATCAAAATGGGAAAGAATGAATCCCTTTCTGCACTTAAATTTCTTTATAAATGGGTAGTGGAACAGTATTTCAATTTTGGCAAAATGTGATTATCTTTAAAGAATATTTCTTTGTGCAGATGGCAATTACATAACAGAAAGAAGGGGAGAAGTCCAAATTCTGTTTTTGTTTCTTTTTTCATTTTTCTTCCTTTTTTCCATTTCCTGTTTTTCTACTTCTATTGTATTCCAAAATTCTAATAAAATGTTTTTTTTAAAAAATCTTTGTTGACAAGCTTGAAAAGGGGGGTCACATGCTTCAAGATGTTGGGTGAAGAAGAAAAAGGGCCGAGATGCTGAGAGTCTTTGCGTTTTATACTCTCTCCTGGGCCCCACTTCCTGTTCCTGTCCCTGTATAAGAAATGCATTCTGACTGGTTGTCAGACTCCCAGGGGCGGGGTTTTTAGCTAACTTTGTAGGTTGTCCTGAGACCCAAGCTTGTTTGCCTTGCTGGCTAATGTAATCTTCCCAGGTGCCGTGTGGTGAGATGGACAGAGGGTTAATCCTACCTTTGTTACGTAGAATAGACTGGCTCAGGCTTAATGATCCCTTGACAAAGGTGGGGGGCAGAGTTTCTACCTCCCTGAGTTTCCACTTCTCTTTTTAGGGAAAATATTCTGCCTTTTTAATATTTCCTAAAACATTTCATTTTCTAGGACAGGAGTGGGTTTTAACTTCCTACAGTCCCTAGACCTTTATGGCACCAAAAGATTTCCAGCCAATTTGAGAGAAGAACTTGACAAAAAAAGATATATTAAGACTAACACCGTCAATATTTTTCACAAAAATTATATTTTTTCTCTCAGAAATACAGGAAGAAACCAACAATTGAAAATACTGATCAGGCCTATAAGCATAAACACTGCTCCAAGCATTTTCAATTATTTGTTCATTCACTGTGGCCTTAATCCACCCAGAAGCTGTTAAATGCGGCTGCTTGCCAACAAGCAGTTGCCATCCCAAGTTTGTTTTTCATCACAGCTTAATCTGTTTAACATAAGAATCACGCAAGATTTCTCCACCCTTCCATTTGCAAAGCAACTCATGTTTGCCACTTATCTATATAACTGAAAAACCAGTCCTCACTATTTGACAGCACATGACTGTGGCAGTATAGCTTTTATATGGTTGAAAGGTTTAATGATTTAATGGAAGCTTCAGGTTGAGTTGATTTCAATCTTGTATAGAAAGTGAATTAAATGAAGTGCATCAGAGGTGGGTTGCAAATCCCGGCGCTACCTGTTCGCTCGTGCTCACGCATGCATGCAATGATCGGGGTGGATGGGTGGGCGGAGTCTCCTGCCGCTGCCGGTTCGCTCGATCTGGGATGAACCAGGAGCAAATCACCTCTGAAATGCATGCCTTAAACTACTTTAAGGTCCATCTTGATAGTGGTTTTTTTTTTTTATAATACATGTGAGAAAAACTAACTGGATAATTAGATTTAGATTTGTGGATAATATTGATGAAAATTTAGGACTGAACCAAGAAAAATTTCTATTTCCCAGAAAAAGACACATCTTAAATGTTGTATTATAGCAGGTACAGTACATGCCTCATTTATATTTTAATTTCTTCAACTTTAATGATTCTGTAACAGTTCTATCCAAACCTTTCTTATTACAGCCAAAGAAATGCAGACTTGAAAATTTCCTTTTCTAAATTGGAAGGGATATAATGACAAAGATCCAAAGGCTAATTAATTTTACATAACACTATCACTGGTGTAAATTACTTACTATCATGGGTGTATTGCTTACATATCCACACATACACAGTATATATTTGTTTAACAAGATTATTCAAATACAGATTTAGATTAAATACCTGTGTGGTTTGTAAGTATACTGCTTAACTGACGAAAATACTTCATCGTAAACCTAATTTTATTAGCAATGCCCCATCTTAAAAAAACATATCTTTTGCTGTTTTCCTAGTTAACCAAACTCTCATTTAGAAGATTCCACTTTCATTTTAAATGGAAAGAACAGCTGCAGGATGTATAATTATTTGCAAGAAGTAAACTTTGAAGTAGGCCAACAGCTTTTGATTTTGGTGTGCTGGACAGCTGCCAATCACACACACACACACACACACACACACACACACACACACACACACACACAAAACCGATAAAAAGACCGGTTGAGGGAAGTAAGAATACAGGATTGTTTGACTGGCTTTGCAAGCATATCCCCAAATATTCCCTCCCAAGCAAAGAGAAAACTGGCTGTAAGCTTCTTCTCAATGATACTTTGAGCCTGGTAATGTGTGAGTTCAATCCTAGGTAGAGGCAGATATAAGGTCTCCTGCCTGGCCAGGGGGTTGGAGTAGATGACCTGCAAGGTCCCTTCCAACTCTTTTAATCTGTTACTTCTTAGTTTTATAGCATGTTCTATATGTATGTGGAAGGATGATGGAAGAATCTGTTGCCTGCTTCTTTCTACTGGCCTTCCTGCTAAACTTCTTGCCACTTAGTCCTTCTTTCTATCACCTCACTTTAAAGAGCCTTACTAAGAGAGAGCAGATGGTTGTCAAATCCCTGGGTTTATGATTCCTCTGCCCAGCTGAGCTCAAACAATGCTCAGCTCTAATAGAGTTTGTAAGTTCTTGCCTTCTTATACCTTGGGATGATGCCCACATTCCTGTTCCACTCCACTTCCCTTTGGCCTGAGGGAGAGATGATTAACAGGTGATATGCCATCTTCACATCTGAAGGGGTATTATGGGTAGGTGATGAAGCAAATGTAGTAGTAGTTGTTGTTGGGCTCAAATCAATGAGTTCACATTACAGAATGAGAAAAGGAGAGATGGGGATGGTGAAAGTTATTTATTAGGAAATTTTAATTTAAAAATAACTTCCTGGTGGCACAAGTGCCGATGGTGGAGTTTGGATGACCATTTATGTATGAATGGCCTGTTTTGGCAAGGGGTTGGATCTTACTGGCTCCGCTAGTTCCTTATCTCTGAAACACTTTGTGAAAACAGATCCACTGTGTAAAGATAAGAGTGATTTGAAATGAGATGCCTCCTTGTTGGTCTGACAGCTCTTTCCCTCTCTCTCTTCTGTGCTCAATCAGAATAGGGATGGAAGGGACCTTGGAGGTCTTCTAGTCCAACCCCCTGCTCAAGCAGGAGACCCTATACCATTTTAGACAGGCAGCTGTCAGTCTTTTCTTAAAAATGGTGATGAAGCAACCACAACTTCTGAAGGCAAGCTTGTTCCACTAGTTAATTATTCTCACTGTTAGGAAATTTCTCCTTAGTTCTAAAGTTGCTTTAGAATAAAAAGAGAGAGAGATCCTTTATTAGTTTCCATCTATTCTTTTTTGTCCTGCCTTCTGGTTCTTTGGAAAATAAGATGACCTTCTCTTCTTAGTGCCAGCCCCTCAACTATTGGAATACTGCTATTATGTCACCCCTAGTCCTCCTTTTCTCCAGACTAGCCATATCCAGTTCCTGCAACGGTTCTTCATATGCTTTTGTCTCCAGGTCTTAATCATTTAATCATGCTTTAATCAGGCTGCTCCTTTCATCAGGGTGCTATTCTAAGAGGACGCCCAATGCTTTCTGTGTCTACATCGTGTTGCTCAATCAAAGATATCAATCTGCAAAATCTGCTTCTCTTCCTGAAAGACCAATGGAAACACGGGGCCATGCAGTCTTATTTTTCACCTTTTTGCTCTGCCCTGTACATCATGTTACCAATACCTACAGTCATGTGTCTGCTGCACTTGCTGCTCATCAGGAGGGAAAGGCTCTTGGTCCACATATTGGGATTGCTGGTCCTCATACTGGGATTGCTGATAATCAAACTGGGCATGTACTGCAGCAATAATTAGAAAAGCAAAGCATTAATGGTCATGGACTTCACAAGAAAAATTCACCTGCAACAATTCTGCAAAATACTATTGTCCATCTAGTGTTTTATTTATTCTCTGGGATATTTTATTTTCTCTGTTCATCAATCAGCACTTAAAGCAGTTAAAAGTATTCAGTGAAATATAAAAAACAATATAGAAAACAAGTGCCTGAAGTCATAATTAGTTCACTTCTGAGGGGTCCTTCGTGCTCTCTGAGCTTGGTTGTTTTCTTGTAGACATTTCTCAATCCAAACTAGTTAGCACCGTTAGTACTAAGGTCCCCTCATTCCACCCCTGAACTACAAATATTTTCCTTTTTTGGCAGTTCATTTCTCCTTCAAAAACACAGCTGTAGAATGGCTCTTTGACTTGCTGTCTAAAAGCAAGAAAGGAAGGCATTCTAGAGAAATGTTCTGTGAAGTATTTCAATGTTTTGGCCTCATTATTTTGAAAACCCTATCCTTTCACTGGGCATATAAAATACACTGAACATCCTAGAAGTAGCAGATCAATTTGATCTGATATTATAAAAGTATGGCAATTTGTATTTCCTCCAATTTAAAGTCAATCAGTCAGTCTGTCTGTCTGTCTGTCTCTCCTTCATGTATGACAAATCTGCCTGTGCAACTCTGCTGTGGGTGTGCATGCATTTCAACATATATGTGGCAGCTTCTTTAAAATCCATGAAATTTCCATCAGTCACTAAAATCCTATTGATTTCAGTTTTTCTACTCTATATATAAGTCTGGAAACAATCTACCAAGTAAGGCACATATTTAGTAAGTTATATATTTTTGCAATCCCTCTTGGCATTAATGGTCATAAATACAGCATATTTCAAAGACAGTTGTTTCTTTCTCCTTTTTGCTTCATGAACCTGATCATAGTAATTATAGCCAACTGGAATAACCAATATGTAGAACATCTAAAAATGTTATAAAACTAAGTTTTGAGAGATGAAGTTTGCTTGTCTCCATCTAGAACTCAACAGTATCAAAACTTGAGCCACACTAGTAATACATTTTAGTCTAGCATTAACCTTTCTAGTTATGCTCAGCAAGATGCTTCTAGAAAGTCTCTAAGTAGCACAGGGTTAATGGACTCCCTTTCTCTGTTTTCATCCTACAAATGGAAATTTAATTTGTTCTGCCTCTGAACATCGAAGTCTACAACTATTTTAAGACAATGACAATTCTTTTGACTTGTAACATCATGTTCCATAATTGTGTGCCAGGTGGCAAAATACTTTCCTTAGCCTCTCTTCAATTGTCATGTGTGTATTTCATTGATTATTCTTATTCTAGTACTAGAGAAGGGAGAAACACCTTCTTGAACTTCTTTCTTAAGAGCATTTAGAAGTTTACTAGTTTGAGTCACCTTTTAGTCAACCATTCCCCTAAACGTAAACATTTTCAACTGATTTTACTCGTATAGAACACTACATTGCTAAATATTTTTGCTCTATTCCTTTCTTATAAAGAAATAGTCAGAATTGTAGAACATTCTAAATATAGTATATATGTATACATATATGTACACCCATGAACTGATTCATAATGCATATTACATTAGTAGTTTATTTTAAGTTAATTGTTACTACAAAATAGCTTACAATTTAAGTTATTTTATATATTTTATTAATTGACTATGGTGGATATGCATGTATGTCTACAGTGTGTTATTAGTTTATATAGAATGGGATGATATTTCTGTCTTTCCAAAATGAATAATGTTAGATGTTGACAGATTCTAAATGATTTCATTCCATCTAAATGCAATGAATCAAAATTCTTTGATATTAATCAAATGCAATGTTATCACAATGAGTCCTGAATTTTATGCTGAACCAGAAGCATATTAAAATATGAACTACTGGCATTTTCTTCTTTGATATCACTTAGAAAACTTCCTACCATCTTATTACAAGTACCTTGAATAGAAACTGTGTAAAAGTGTTTTGCAATAATCACACTGATCTTAATGCTACTTGTCCAGTACGCAATGGAATCTAAATTCAGGCAGATCTGCTAAAGTATCAGTATAGCACATTCCATGTAGCCTACATAAACAGCTCTGTCTATTGTGAGGCATTATTAATCATAATTATTGATATAATCAAAGTCCCTGAAGTTTCAAAAGACAGCTGTACGTATTTCAAGTATGAAAGGGATGGAAGAAAACTGGATAGTATTTTCACAAGAATATAATATATAGAGATACTGCTTAAGATAAATATTTCTGGTCATGGTTTCAATCAGTTTTTTACATGTTGTAAAGTTTTGAACAGTTTTGACCCTCATAATTCCCATCCCGACTTTCTCTAGGAAATGAACTTAGATGCTTTGGAAAACACCCAGAACATAATCTTTTCAGAGTACCTTGTCTCTGTAGATCATATGAAATAAAGTTCTATTCCTTATTTCAAAAATGACTGATAAATTACAGGACAGTACACAATCCCAGGAGGCCATAAAGTTCACATTCCTTGAATGGCTGACAATTTTAAATGCAATTAATTCAATGTTGGAGTTCTAATTAATAAAAAATAGCATGAACTTTGCAATAGACTCCAAGAACTTAACAATCTTATTACAAGCCACCTAAACAATGCAGTGTTTTTATTTGCCTTATTAACCTTCTCACATTTGTAACTTTCTACATTCACATATGATAAACAGTATTTATTCTTGCAGAAAAAAATGTACCTAAAAGAGAGAATTAATTTTCTATGCTTTGTAATGCACCCGCTCCATTAACGACTGGTTTGTCTTTTCTTTCTAGCATTTTTATCCATTAAAATACTGCTCAGTGTGTCAATGCAAGCTGGAATATTGGCGATTGATAGGAAAACTCAAGCAAGTGTTTTTCAAGTCCTGATAACATTTAATGAGGCAAAGCAAAGAAAACAGCGTAAAAGCATCAGACCTTCAAGAAGCCAAACATTTGCTGAATGTCTTCCAAATGAAAGGAAATGAACTTCTCTTAAAGTTTCCTACCTTTCTGATGGCTTAAGATGATCATTAGTATCCATAGTGGTATTCGGGTTCCCCTGCCTATCCCCATCCTGCCTGGGGAGTTGGCAGTATGTACCATGGGCTTCTGAGAACCCACTTGTCTTTTGATGCCTCTTATATAGCAGGCGTGTGGACTCTGGCTGAGTTCCCAGATAGTTTCACAAGCTCCCAGAGAGGTGGAGTTTCAGAATCTTTAGCAGGTGCACAGGTTGTGAGAGGATGCTGTTTTACTTTATTTGGAGTTGCTATGGCCATTGAAGAAACTCAGATGAAATGAAAAGCAAAGGTCACAACGTTTTTTGCCATTTAATAGAGTTAAAGAGAAGATGCAATTCAAGGATCTTCCCCTTCCTGAGAGTCATGGTGGAGTAATAGTAAAGAGGCTGGGCCCATGTTCAAGTTCTTCCTCAGCCGCAGGAGGTCACTAGATGACCTTGGGTCATGAACCTTTGCTTAACCCAACTTCCTTCTCAGGAATTTTGTTAATAAGGGAAAATGGGAGGAGGAAACACTACAGATATTACTCCTAAATGATGCGTAAAGATTGGGTGGGATGTTTCTATCCTTAATACACAAGTTCTAAATAACCTTTTAAATAAATACTCATGCTGAAAGTAGCAGTCACTAGAACACTATTACAGAACAAAAATAGAAAGAGACTAAAGATTAAAGCTGTTCCTTAAAAACTTCCAGGCAACCTAGGTCAAATGCTAAATTAACAGAGATGTAGATGTTTTAATTGCCGTATTTAGATAATGTCTTTAAAAGGGATTTTAGTGTAAGGGTGAAAACAATATATGAAAAGGTATAATTGAATTTTCACTGAGGGGAAGAATGAAGGAAACTATGTCAAAACCACAAAGCAATAGCAATAGCAGTTAGACTTATATACCGCTTCATAGGGCTTTCAGCCCTCTCTAAGCGGTTTACAGAGTCAGCATTTTGCCCCCAACAAC